ATGGTTAGGATGCCAGTTGATGGCCACATGTACCATTAAAAGAAGAGAAGTACTATTTAAAGTTAGTTTTAAACAGCAGAAGATAGAGACTTCAGTACTGTACAGTAGTTTAAAGGGATGGGCTCTGAGTGCTGTCTTAAAGGCGAGGAGGGATTTGGCAGTTATGGAGCAGACTTTGATTTACAGTCCTTCAGACGTGGGACAGTCAGGCATGTCAGTTCTGGAGAGCGAAGTGGCCTTGTTACGGCGTCCGGGCTGATGAGGTCTCACAGGCGGGAGAGAGCACTTCCCCTGGCAGCCACGTGTTAAATTTAATCCGAGCTCAAAACCGGTCACCAGTGAAAAGGAAGAAAAAGGGATGAAATGTGAGCTTTCGAGGAGTTTAAAGGAAAACAATAGGCGTGTGTCCGTGTCTGGGACACACAGCAGTCCCAACAGTCGGAATTGCATAACCCCGTAAGGAAAATTGATTATGTGACATTGGAAACACAGGGCCGAAGGGGTGTTTTCTGTACGCCATCCCAAATCCCGGCTCATACCGAATGCAGCTCAAGGATCCACATTAGCGGCCCACAGCCTTCTGCCTCTGCTTGCTGGTCCGCTCCCGCCGGCAGAGTCCTTCCCGCTGCCTGTTCCTGCTGTTCAGCCCGGCTCCCCCGCCGGGCCACTCGCTCTGCTGTCACTCGCTCCGGCGGCGGCGTCTGCCGGCACCGGTTATCTAGCAAAAGCCCCTCCCGGGTCCGACACGGAGACCTCGCTCCCTCTTTGCCCTCCTCTGCTGGACTTTCCGCTTCCCGTTTCTGCCCGTTCCGACGTGGTCCTGCCCGACGTGTCGCTGGAGTCCCAGCAGTTCCTACCCGGGTGTCTTTGTACATTCTGCCCCTTTGACTGGCGCCCCCTTCTGGCTGGGCCGCTACCCCTGGGCTTTCCCCCCGAACCCTATGCTTCTTTAATAGGAACAGCTGTCGCTGCGTCCAAAGCTGCACAGTTCAGCTCTTCAGCAAATCAAATCCTCACTCCCTGCACATCCATCCGTACCAGTTTGCATATACCCACCCTAACTGCTGTGCCCCAATCTGTTCCTGCTCCCTCGATAGTGCATTATCTTGTAGTAAGTTATTTTACCTAAAGTTCATTCAGTCGGGCTTTAACAGCGATCTCTTTGACCACGGAGATTCTCGCCACGCGTAGAAGCTTCTTGTCATACTTTAGGCGGATCACAGTCGGTCCAGGTTGCACCCCAGGTGATACAAGCCAGACAAAATAATGCTACATTGAGCAGCATCTGTAACGAAAGGCACCAGGTTCAAAGGCTTGTAGCGGTTGAAATGAATTTTGCATGTGACAACAAACTTATTGCTTCTTGAACACGCTCAGCATTTCGAGCGATATACTGTGTGCAACGCACTGAACAGATTGTAAAAAGAATAATTCAGAAAGCCTTAACTCAGTGGATGCTATGGTTAAAGACCATTATGTTGTGATAATAAATGTATTTCTGAAATATTATGATGCCACGTTTACCAGCTAGCTTTATTCGAAATGCGGAAATATGAAACTGCATGCTTGAATATTTTGAGGAAGACTGTGAAAAAGGACATGAAAATCATGATGGGTAACTGTTGGAGCTTTTAATCCAGAACATTCCAGCTCTGGTGGGGGGGGGGTTATGTATTTGCGTATTCGTTCGCATGCATGCTGTTAGTGTTAATTGATGTTCTCGGGGCATTACAAGCACCCTGTGCAGGATGCAACTGACCTTAGGGTCCGCACTACCTGGGACTGATCCAGGGTCAGCAGATCCCTGCTCGAGTGATTGGTACAGTATATGAATATGAATGAATGGGACACTATTAAAGAATGCCCGCTTGCTAATTTGTTTGTTGTTGTTATATAGCTCACATTTTTAAATCCTAATCTTCTTAAACTAAGATAATAATAATATATATTATTATTATTATTATTATTATTTTACAGTGATGTCTATGGGAAAGTTCAGTAAACTCTTGTATCCAGCCTGCTGCTTAACACCCTCCTATATTTTGCACTTTCACTATTGCAGAATGTCTCCACTTTCCACGCACTGTTATTATGGGGCACCGGGTTCCTGGGGGAACGCTACTTCCTGACACTGTATATTTGCATATGGAATACAGAATATCTTTATTTCTAATGTACACATACCATGAAAATGTTTGCTTCCCACTAAATCTATAAAAGATAAATGCAATTAAATTTTAAAAAAGGAAAATAATATTTGAAATACAGTTACACAGTAATAAATAATGTCCACTTGGCTTGCTTTATTGGCACGCTTCTTTTGAACTTATTTTTATTCATAACATTTTTGTGTGCAGTTTTGTTGAGTGTACTCATTTGGTAAATAGCTAAGACGGCTAAATATTAAAATGGTTAAGAAAAGCATATCGTAAAGATGGACAACTCATCTTCAACACGGCATACACACAATGTGGCATTAACATGCGATTGTCAATTAGCCATCTGATGGGTTTGGCGGGGAAGGGTGTAGTGTGAGCAGAGATGTAACAGTACATTTACTTTTAATTTGACACCTGCTGGGCGCTTCTGAGCCGCCTGACGAAGCCGATGGCTGAGCCGCTGAGAGATGTGTGCTTTTCAGCTTCAGCGGGCAGAAAACAGAAGCTGGGATGACAGTAGAAGATGTATGGCGCCGCGCATCGACTGTCAGTCTCCCCTCACGCTGAAAACGACGCAGAGAGACCGCGCGGCGGTTCCGAAAGCGTAAACTTTGTGACGGGCAGGTGGATTGGCACCTGGAGAAAGTCAAAGCTCTGCCTCACTTAGAAGCCATGCCTCCTTAAAGCTGGAGTCACGACACGCTTGTATCAATTGTTTTCATTTTTCAAAGTTCCATAACTGCATTATACTATGAAATATTCTTCTTATTTTTTGTGGGTATCCTCCAGGCACTCTGGTTTCCAGTCTAAATACATGCATTTGGGTGAGCTGGCATCTGTAAATTGCCCATGTGTGTATGTGTGTCCACTGTGACGGACTGCTGTCACTAAATTGCCCGTGTGTGTATGTGTCCACTGTGACAGAATGGCGTCACTAAATCGCCCATGTGTGTCACTAAATTGTCCAGATCTTTGAGCGTGCAGTTACAAACCAATCCCCCTGATTTTTTTTACAACCTTTAGTTATCAATAGTAAAGTCAGCCAATATAAATTTATCAGAAGTTAAAATATAGTAAAAAGTGAGCAAACAAGACTATCAATGTCACATTAGTCAGTTTTTTTTTCTTCTGAAAAGTTAGCTTTTTATTAATACATTTACATTGCACTACTCCTTTTTACGGCTTCATATTTTATTTAGAGTTTATTCTTAAAATAGGAATGCGTGGGGAAGCCGAAGGCTGTGGTTAGCCTAGCTATCCACGATTATAGTGTGCATGCATTGTTCAGTAAACACACCAATATATTAAGTTCTTCACAGCTTTGTTTTGGTCATGAATTACTATTGTCATTTGCTGGTAGTCAAGTTAGATTAATAAAGTCATTTACTTTAGGTGCGCCTGAAAGGAGTTACGTAAGTCGATAATGAAAGCTGAACAATCACACTTCCTGCTCCGGAGGAGAACATGCCCCAGCGTGTCTCAAACACATTTTCATTTGAAGCATTTTCCTGCAGCCTGATTCTTTACTTATTATTATTAAACCCCTTTGCTCTACCCAATTAAATGTGTGCTAATGCATTCACAGTTATTGCATTACAAATAACGGCGCGGAAGTTTTTTTTCTTTTAAAGCAGGAAGAAAAACATGCGTCTGTTGCTATTCCATCTGTCGTAAAGAGAAGCAAAGTCAAGCAAGGATGCCAGTTCAGAACATGTCTGGAAGTTTCGGAACTTTCGAGCGATCAAAAAAGACACAGGAAAAAAAAAAGAGGAGTGTGATTGCTGGCAGAGTTCCAAAGAGAGCCATGAAAAGGAGTCCAGACTCAGGCTCCGGAACTTTCTAAACCAAATGGGAAAACGGCACCAGCTGCCCTGTGCGTGGTTAATATTGATAGAGGGCAGGGGTATCACCAGTACAGTAAGTCGGACTTTTCACATTATCATGAAACATCCCGTGTCACACACTTGTTGTCATTTTAAAGTTTCGTATAGCTAGCAGGAAGGTCTCACGTTCAGTCAGTATGAGATCAAACTTCATTCATTGCTTTTTAAATTTCCTAGGAGGTCTTGATCACAATTGGCTCAATGAAATAGCAGCCAAACAAAGGCCACTACACATGGATCAGGGAATGTCCTTCAGATATTTAAAAAGAGTCCTGCAAACATATAAGCATGCATGATTTTTTTCCATTTGATAACATTTTATGTCTTTAATTGACAGGCTTTTCTTTAAAGCAATTATTCCTTTTGTTCCCAATATGAATTATAGTCAGTTTAAAGTGGTTCTCACGAGATATAATTTTCCCAGTCTTCTCATTCTTAACATGATTTCACTACCAAATGAAAAGAAGGGAAGAAATCCTCTTAGATATAATGATACTTAAATACAGCAGCCATTCAGATAACTTTGAAGCTACAATGAATAACCATGTTTATCCAATGGGTCTACTTTTATATTAACAATTAGCAGTAGCAGCAAAATCCCTGAGAAACTGACGATTTTACACTCATGTCTTGCAGTTTTTAAACATAATTTTCATGGAGACATGTAAAATATTATGCTAATTACCTCCTTACTTATTTACAGCAGTGAGCTCTGACAATTTTTCAGGGGGTAACACAGCTTCTGAGTATGTGATGAGTAAGAAGTAACACAGCTTCTGAGTATGTGATGAGTAAGAATGGACTCCAAACCCTTCAATGCAGAAACATACACCCCACACTCTGCAAAAATGTAGCTTTTCTTTCCAGACAATCTATACATCATGACCGCTAATCTAATGATGTTCTAAAAGCTGTGAATATATTCTGAAACTGTGACTTTTTTTCTGTGACTTGGAAGGAAAGAGGAAGTTGACAAGCAAAGTGAAGACATGTGACTGACTAACGACGCTGCAGTTCCACCGGCTGCAAAGAGCAAATAAAATATTCAGAAATAAGTTTCAGAAGATATTTCATATATCATGCTGTCCTGTGAACTGCATAAACACCGATACAGAGATTAGCTTGATCTCCATGGAGCTGGGGGTTAAGGGCCTTGCTGATGTGACCATGGACGTGTGACTGTTCCGCCAAAGCAGGGCGCAAACCAGCGACCTACCGATCGCAGGCATGGAGGCTTAGGCCACTGAGCTACCCGCAATTACAACAATTATTATAATAATAATAATAATAATAATAAAAAGCTTTTGCCTTCGCCAGGCATAGGAGCCATGGGGATATCCCAGAATTAATAATAATAATAACAATCATCATCATCAACCCAGTACTGAATAAGCACTTGGAAGCCTGATGGATTATATGCATAAATATTAGGATTTTTTTCACTACATTTAAACCAACAATATTAACCAAGCTACGAAATATGATTTATAGGTATGCGTGTGAACAATCTGCTGCAGTGCAGCATGCGTCTCGCGCAGCCGCGCAGCCGGGCTGCTCTCGCCGTGACATTCCCACTGTCCTCCAGTCTTTTCAGAGACAAATTGCATCACTCTTGCCTCAGCTCCGGCTCTCTTAAGTACTCGCACTCGATGTCCCTTCCCCTCCTGCCCCCCCCCCCCCCCCGGTCCGCCCTCCTGGCAGCTGCCGAGTGGCTGGAATCAGAGAATTTGCCTTTATTCTTATGTCATTAACAGAACAATCAAAGCACATTGTTGCGTGTGTCAGAAACAAACAGAGAGCTTATCCTTTTTGGGAGACTTCATTTTGAAAACACTCGAACGTTCCCATCGCCTGTGGACTTGCTCTAGTTTAGTCTAGTAATATTACAGCTGTCTGCCGACGGGTTTAGTGATTTTCTCCAGCAACCAGGAAGCAAGAAAACAACTCTTTTAATGTCCTCCAAAAATTATCCATGGACGCTGTCATAGCCATTTTTTTAAAATTACATTTTCTTATATAATTTATTATTATTGTTGTTGTTCGTTCAGGGGCCTATATCATGATACCAGATTTCTTACTTAGCCGGGGTACTTGTCACATTTAAGGTAGTCTGGGCTAAATGTAAGTGAATGAAGACAAAGGCCATTTAAACTGGGGCACCTTAAATCTGACAAGCTAAGCAAGAAATCTGGTTCACGTTACAGGCCCCAGGTAGTGTAGCATCACCAAGGTTGTTGGTTTAAATCTCGCCTCATCAATAAGGCCAGGAACACTCACTGACTCTTAACCCTCACCCTGTACTGTGATTTTGCACAACTATCTAGCTATGCCCGTCATGTACACCATCTAATTCTGGCACATTCTTGTGTGTGTGTGTGCGTGCGTGTGTGTGTACGTGCTCTTTGATTGTGTGTTCCATGCCTCGTGCTTCCTGATTCACTGTGATTCTGTATTAGATTATTATTCATTTATCACAGTACCTTCATTAATGGCAGTAAAACAACAAAATGAAAATGCACAGGCATCAGTGCATCAGAGACCCGTGATACAAAACTGAAATTCTCATTCTGCTTTTATTTTTCAACTGCAATTTTGATTTGGAAAAGAACAGGAGTTGAAACCTCGATAGAACTTGATGAAATTAACCTTAATGTCACTATGAGTGAGTCAGATGCTGCCATTGGCTGCGGGAAACAGAAAGACACCTGTGGCAGAGAGACCTGCGAAAGTGGAATGATGTCACGTGGGGATACCGCTGTGGCAGGGGTCTGCGGCAGAGAGACCTGCGAAAGTGGAATGATGTCACGTGGGGATACCGCAGGACTCAAGCGGGCGCTCTCACTGGTGAGTCAAAATGACAATGAGACAAGCACATGTAAGTAAAAATGTCACATGTATATCGCTTTAAAACTCTGCCAATAGAGCTGTGTTCCTCCCGCCTGTCCTTGGTGACCCCCAGACAGTCGGCAAGAGCTGGCAGGGAACTGAGAGGGAGAAATGTGGACTCAGGGTCCCTGAGGACTGAGTTGAGAAACACTGGAATAGAGGGTCAAGGTAAGTCTGGAGGTGCACTCTGGACAGGATCTCCACCCAGAAGAATATTAGACATACAGCTCACATGTCTCTCCTTATAAGAGGAACGTTATCCATGTTGAATATACAGTATATGAAGGAAGCTTAACAATCTGAAAAGCACTGGATTGCAGATCCTTGAGTCAGTAGCGGGTTTTCGCTGAGCATTCTGCCGAATTTGCTCTTTCGTTTGGTTTGCATTTCGTTTGGTTTACAGCCTTTAGATCAAAGTGGTGGCTCCATACTATACGTCTAATGAATGAAACAGTGTACTTACCAAGGGGTTCTCTGTTACACAACAACAAAAAGACGTTTCTCCTTCATACTGATAAACATATGATTTGAGGTGCCAGGAGTTCCACCTCCCTTCTCCTCGCACGAGACTGCTTTCATCTTTTGAATTTTTGATGTCAATATCTATAGAAATGTGCACCTTCATTAATTATTAGCTTTCTTGTGATGTTCCACTGCTCACAATATGCAGGCCATTTCAGCCTGCACTGAGCAGATGAAATTTTATTTCTGGCTGTCGACTTCCCACTGTTTATCAACCGAGTCATTAGTAAATACAGAACAGCAGCATTCATCAATCGCTGCATGCCACCAAATAAATTCCATTCCAGAAGCACAACCCGTCCTTGTTGCTGTTTATTTGGCTTAGTAAATAGTTTGCGGGGGAAGTCGTCTTCAATCATCTCGTTCCACTGAGAGAGTATAAGGTGTTCACTGTCGCTCAACAGAGAGATTTCAAACGTTTCTTTGAGGGATGTATCCAGCTGATTAGTAAATGACAGGGGAGAATGTGTTTTCAGCCTTTTTTTTTGTATTTAAAATCTTGGCAGGTCTTTTTACAGATTGTCTGAAACCTCATTTACGTTCGGAGTCTTTTTTTTTAATGGGAGCTGTCAGCAATAAGCATGTTAAGCTCTTGTAAGGAAACACTTGGTATTCTGTCAACGTCTTGTCTTTTATTGATGATTAAAGCCAAAGCTGTCAGACAACAGAGGGACAAAATATTAATTTTAATGCGTTTAAGTTTCTCAATTAAGCAAATTGATTCTGAAATGTTTTGAACTTTAAAAAACCACAGATAATAGCAGATGCTTGCCGGTGCTTCCATATGCCGGGAGGAAAAGTGGCTCTCAAACTTACGATGTGTCATTTAACTATGGAATCTGAGGAACAGTAAGCATATGATCATTGGCTAATATTTACACAGCATATAGTGTGTGTTAAAGTGTGTGTTAGTGCGTTCCCAGTGGCAGAAGGGCATTCCTTCCCGGCGGTCACCTGCACTGTGTCCTGTGTTTCCTGGGACCTCTGCTGGGCGATGGTCACAGAATATCTATAACTAGGACGTGGTCTAAATTTATAACATTTATTACACATTTGTTACACATCCTGCCACCGTATTTGCAAATTCCATTTGAGTAAGATTCGGGTCAGTCTCCACATACTCCAGCTACCCGCGAGTCCCTCCAGACCCACAACCTCGACACCCAGTCGCAGAAACTCCTTCCCATCACCTGAGCTGATAACCCCACTGAAACCAGAACAAACGCTAAGGAGAGTCGATCGGCGAGTGATCTCGAGTCAATCCATCGGAAACAGCGCCGCGACATCCCGGATCGATATGCGGCGCTTAAGCCTTAAAGGGCGATTCTGTCAGACTAACGGAGAGCTTTGTTGGTTTCCCTTCCCGTGGCGTGATTGTTTACCCGCTGAGACAGCAAAGGCTCTGTCAGATGCCCATTAACTCTCCTTCGTAAGAGTCTGCCTTTATCAGGTCATCTCTGACCTCTTACAAACATTCTGAACTTGTTCCCTGTAATGTACAATGGAAGCTTCCATGGATAAGCAATATGTTTAAAAACCAAAGACATTTGACTGTTCACATACAGTTCACTACTAGAAAACAATATTTTTCAAGACCAAGCACTACTTTGTCTTTCATGCTCACAATGACAATGAATGAGAAAGACTACTGTAGTTGTTTATTGATTATATATAATCTATATAACTGTATCCTTATAATAGCCGACGTCATGTTATTAATCACCAGAATCCTTAGAAAAGGCATGAACTGGGCCATTGCTGGCTGGTTTGACACGGTGGATCCTGCTCATTTTTAATCCATTCATGGTCTGGCTAATATAGTGAGTTGGTAATTCCTCAGTAATCATTTTAGCATGGAGACCTGGAAACAAATGACAATGATTTATTGATAATATTGAATGATGGAGTCATGATGGTCCTCACACTCAGAATGATGGACCCCACACTCAGAATGATGGACCCCACTCTCAGAATGATGGACCCCAATCTCAGAATGATGGAGCCCCACGCTCAGAATGATGGAGCCCCACGCTCATAATGATGGACCCCATGCTCAGAATGATGGAGCCCCACGCTCAGAATGATGGACCCCACGCTCAGAATGATGGAACCCCAATCTCAGAATGATGGAGCCCCACGCTCAGAATGATGGAGCCCTACTCTCAGACAAAGATTGGGGGTTCAGGGGAGAGCTTAGACCAGTCAGTTACACGCTTCATACAGTACCTATGACTTTTAGTAATGGGTCCTGATTCATAGGGTTGGGTATTGTCTGTTTTTTTTTTTCTCCAACCGGTGCTAAAATTATACTTTTAAAATGGTGCTAATGTCTAAATGGTACCTGCTGCCGTACTTAACAAAAATAAGGTCAGTGACATTAAAGAATGGCTTTTTTAATTTTTGGATGGAATATATAAACTTGACACCTTAAATATATATAACTACAAATTACTTTGTATAAACATAAATAACCCCCCACCCCTTTACACACAATTGTTTTTAAACATTTTTACATGTCCTGGTGCGGCAAATACAGGTGCACTTTAGAACATTTAAATGTAGACATTTTAACCATGTTTAAGGTAGCTACTAACTAACGAAAGGCATCTGCTGACATCAGGGCAAG